TCCATCCCCCAACCACCATCCATCCCTCCCCCAATCACCATCCATCCATCCCCCAATCACCATCCATCCCCCAATCACCATCCATCCATTCCCCAATCACCATCCATCCAATTCCCAATCACCATCTATCCAATTGCTGGGACTGCTAATTTCCTGGCTGTCCCCATTCCTGTCAAAGCATGCTTGGGGTTGTAGTTGTACCCCTTCTGTAACATGTAGTCCCTCTGCTCTTTGACAGAATTTGTCAGCTCTTCTAACCCACCGATCCCGGTCAGAGCATGCTGAAAGTTGTTGTTCTACCACTGCTTGCATTAGTTGTTTCTCTGACCCCTGTCAGGAAATGCTGGGATTTGTAGTCCTTCTGACTCCTGTCAGGAAATGCTGGGACTTGCAGTCCTTCTGACTCCTGTCAGGAAATGCTGGGACTTGCAGTCCTTCTAACCCCTGTCAGGAAATGCTGGGACTTGTAGCCCCTGTCAGGAAATGCTGGGACTTGTAGCCCCCCTGCCAGGAAATGCTGGGACTTGTAGCCCCCCTGCCAGGAAATGCTGGGACTTGTAGCCCCTGGCAGGAAATGCTAAGACTTGTAGTCCTTCTGACCCCTGCCAGGAAATGCTGGGATTTGTAGTCCTTCTGACCCGTCAGGAAATGCTGGGACTTGTAGTCCTTCTAACCCCTGTCAGGAAATGCTGGGACTTGTAGCCCCTGTCAGGAAATGCTGGGACTTGTAGTCCCCCTGCCAGGAAATGCTGGGACTTGTAGTCCCCCTGCCAGGAAATGTTGGGATTTGTAGTCCTTCTGACCCCTGTCAGGAAATGCTGGGACTTGTAGCCCCTGGCAGGAAATGCTAAGCTCTGTAGTCCTTCTGACCCCTGCCAGGAAATGCTGGGACTTGTAGTCCCCCTGTCAGGAAATGCTGGGAATCTATAGTCCCCTCCACCAGCTGATGACATGTGGTGCCCCCCTACTGGGTGTCACCTCTCCAGGCGGGCCTCCAGGTCCTGGATCTGAAGCTGGTAGAACTCCTTGGTCTCCTCGGTGACAAGCTCCACTTTTGGTCGTTCCTCCACCTTCCCCTTCTTTTCCTTCTTCCCGGCCGCACTGCCTTTACCCTTCTTTTTCTTGGGTGGCATGGTGCTCGTCCCTGGCTTCCTCCGTCTGCTTTCTCTGTCCACAGCGTCCTGCTGCTAGGCAACCATGGCGGGTGGAGCCACGGCCGGACACACCTATTGGGAAGGGAAGAGTAGGTGGGATTGAGTCGCTGGTGGGCGGGGTTATGTAAATGTAGTGCCAAGCTGGCGAACTCCTGTCCACGTGTGATGAGTATGAGCTGCGCATAGCTGGGATAGTTCAGTAATTGAAGGCAGGTCTGGGCGGAGGACTCCCAAACCTGTCCCCGGGTTCTCCGACAGGGGCATGTGTGCTCCTGTCCTCGGGTTCTCCGACAGGGGCATGTGTGCTTCAGTACATGGAAGCCTGATCACTATAAGCTGCTAAGTGTCAGTGTCATTTCAAAAGTCATGTGCAATATTTTTAGAATACATATGAATTCTTATAATACCTGGAGATCGTGAAATGAAGGTCACTTCCTGTCAAAGGGTGACAACTAGTGCCTCGGTTTGGTTCTTCTGGACATTCACCAAGGCTGGGATCTGGGTTTCGCGAATGCCACCTGTGTCCTCACAACCAATGACTGAGTGACCTGCAATGCTTCATTGTTTGCCAGGCTGCACAGAGGTATTGGTTGCTAGGACACAATTGGGTGCAGCATAACAACCAAGGATGATATGGGGGTACCTATGTCCTAGCAACCAATGACTCTGCGTGACTCACAATGCGTCATTGGTTGCTAGGCTGCACAGCATGTCTGAAGTCTCTGACCATCTCCTGTAGCATGTTTGCAGTCTCTGACCATTTCCCGTTACATGTCTGCAGTCTCTGACCATCTCCCGTTACATGTCTGCAGTCTCTGACTATCTCTTGTAGCATGTCTGCAGTCTCTGACCATCTCCTGTAGCATGTCTGCACTCTCTAACGTCCCGCTTTAGTCCAGGGGCGCACACAATTTTTCGTCTGGAGATCTACTTTTCAAATGACGAGCTCAATGAGATTTACCAATGAAAAAACACCTGCATTCAGGGGCGGGAGCGGGCGTGGCGGTGCACTGAAGTCAATGGCACCGCAGCCACACCCCCCGCCCGCAGTACGATCGCCCGCACATTAGTACCTGCGTTCCGGTCTGATCTGCAAAAATGCTGCAATTTTTGCAGGTCGCACTGGACGGGAACGCAGGTACTAATGTGCCTGCGTTCCGGGTGCGGGCGATTGCACTGTGGGCGGGGGGCGTGGTTGCGGTGCCATTGACTAAAATACAACCCCACACCCTCTCCCGCCCCTGAACACAGCAAGCTTCCAGTGCGTTCTAGAAGCCAAACACTCTTGAACGCAGACTTTGTGGTGTGAACCGGCCCTCTCTCTTGGCTGTCTCTTCTCTCTCCTCGCTCTCTCTCGTTTCTATCTGCTGTCTCTCTTCTCTAACTCTCTCTCTGTGCTGTCTATCTCCTGTCTGTCTTTTCATACCTCCACTGCAGCAGCTTCCCAGGTCTCCTCTAGTGCGACGGCGTCCTGTCCCGCCCCTTCCCGTCTGCGGCGTCAGACACATTCAGCCAGGAGGCGCACGAGCACCGCGAAAGCAGAGCCGTAGCTCGCTCCTTTTGCGCCCGAGGCATGAAATAAAAAAAAGTGCCCTCCAATGGGCCTGTGACTTCACCCAGCGCCCCGCCTCCAGGGAAAATATTAGAGGTCTAAACAACCCCCGATATTTCCCTTTTAAAATAGAAAAAGAATGGGGAGCAGCCTCTTTAGTGAGTGCTACTCCCCATTGAGAAACTCATGAATGAACAGGAAGTGATGTAAAGCACTTCCTGTTCATTCATAACTGGTGACACATAGTAATATGTGTCCCCAGTTATTTACAAACACTGGAGTGATCAGCTAATCGCTCCAGCGTTTGCTCTACACAGAGGATCGGAACATATCACTGATATGTACCGATCCTCCACCACTCGGCCACGCGCACAGGGGGGCTCAGCCTGCTGCTTTTCCTCTGGATCCCCGCTGCTCTCCCCCATCTGTATGCAGCGGGGATCCGAGGAGAAGTGACAAATAACATACTTTGTGATCGTTGTAGATTTCACATGGTCTGCAAGGCTTACAGTATGGGCTTCATTTATAAAACGTCCACCCAGCTTATTCATAAACAACCACACATAGGGCCTGACGCTGTTCACACTCATGCCTCTAGATGGTGCTGTTGAGAATAGGACATTTTCCATACTTGTTAGCGCCATCTAGGGGCACAAGTATGAATGGCATCTGATCTATAAATAAAGCCCTGTATGTAGTTGTTTTTCAACAAACCGGGTGAAAGTTTTATAAATGAAGCCCATACTGTAAGCCTGGCAGACCATGTGACATCTAGAATGATCACAAAGTATGTTATTTCACAAACTGACACAACCAAAATTAATTAACCCCCTTTGCCACTGGCCCTTTAATTTACCTTAACGTGGGACCTGAAGCCCAAACTTTTTTTTTTTTTTACGTTTTTGGATAGAATGAGGGAGAGTTATAACCCTTGTCAGCTTTATTTCTGAGGACCTGATTTCCCGTCACTTCCTGTCCAATAGCCACAACAGGAAGTAGAGCCAAATCCTTCCAAGGTAAGGTAAATCCCTGGTGGTCACCAGAACTAGTGTCCCCATCGGAAGATTTCTCATCTATTCCTGTTCTGGTGACAACCCAACATTTGGGATTTGCTGTCACTTTCAGTGATAACGGTCACCAGGACAAATAGAAGGGGGTGAATCTCCCTAATGGGGACACAGGCAGCAATAAAAACTGAATTACTCTGCACTCCATTCAAAACTAAAAATAAAAAGTTAAAGGTTGAACTTTAGTGACGTGACAGGAAGTGGGAACAGACTTCGGATCACTGTGACAGCCAATCACAGCGATCCTATGATCAGGAACCCGCCCCTGGCTCCCAAATGTGCTGGGAGGGTGCAGTGAGCGACGTGGTTGAAGCTAAACCCATTCACTAAAGTCTCACATAAGCTTTACCATGTTAGTCATTTCTGTATTTGTTTTCAGCAGTTTTTATTAAAGTAATCTCTGGTGGTCCCGCCATTACG